TATTGTTACCTGAAAAACTTCATTGAGGTTTTCTCTTGCTTTGATTAGTTAGCAAATGATTTATTGAAGAAAACCCCATGATGATACTCTTTCTAGTGACAAAATTGATTTAAAAGATGACAAAAAGAAGAATATAATAGTGCATAGAGCACTTTGAAATAATGAATCACTGTAGCCAAAACATTTGATGTGAAGCTTTCCACTGTATGGAAAAAGTTATAGGAATATATTGGTATGGTAGAAATAGAAATATCAGAATAAAAGAATGAGCATTTCATTTTCATCTCTAATATTTATGTTTTTCAGCATACATTTTAAATTCTGCCTGGTGACTTTTATCACTGTTGTGATATCAATCAGTCAATCACTATGTTACTTCATACACAAGCAAGAATAAAATCATCTACTTTTCCTATTGTTGGTTTATTAATGTTGCTATTCCTTGTGAAAAGAAATGCAACTCAATTTTTTTCTTTTTCATCTTTTGCTTGCATGATTACAATCTGTAGCTATGTTCAACTGGCTTCAGGCTACAAGATAATCATGTCTAGATATTCTTTAGGGAGTTAGAATATGAGATGAAAAATTCTCTGTGGATTAGAAAACATATTTGGCAAGAAAGATTTAAATTACAAGTCTCATTCATGCTACATAGCACAACTGCACAAATACTTTAAATCTGGAATTATTAAAGACCCTTAGTGAGATTCAGCAGTGATGTTGCAATGAATAACAAAACTGAAGAAAATATAACTGCTGATAAAATCATCGGGCAGATGGGGCTGTCTGTATTCAGGATATGGTATGTGTATTGTACACCTTCACTAGCAGTCTCTGTTACATTCTAATTATGTCCCCTACAGCTTTAAATGGAGTAGATTGTTTTAAAAGTGATAGCTTTTCCCATTAGTTTGCGTGTGAGGATGCAGTTACTTATCAAAGGAGCAGCATCCTATAAACCAACCTGCCAATATGTATTTATTGCCATAATTTTTTCGGTTTGTTCTGATGCAGAGGGATAGGTGCTGTGATGCCAGTTTCTGCAAGCTGAAGATGTGGCCAGGATTTTTTAGCAAGCAAAGCTCAGCCCAAGTTTTCTCACCTGACTGCAACATTCAGGCATATTTTTACCATGAGAGATTTGTAGGATTTATTTCAACTTGTATTTATCTCATCTCACATGTACCTGAGCTACCTTATGCAAAGGTGGCCTGCTTGTCATTGTCATCTTGTCCTGCGTTGTTCACTGTTCATGCATATATAGGCCCTCTCAACAGTTCTTTTGGACACCATGTTGTCTTGCATTCCCAGAAATGCACCTAACTTGGGTTCTTTTTTTACCAGCTGCATTTAGGTGCAGTACAGCCTTTTGTTATATGTTTAGATGTCAGCTATGCTGCTTACCGATATGTTTCTTATATGGCCTTTCTCATTCACCTATATGGCTAAAACTCTTGGCAGGCTTTCATCTTTCCTGTCTTGATGACTCCAGTATCTTTTTTTCTTCACAGGTGTGGTCTGATCCCATTTGTAGCTATTCCCAATGCTTCTATTAAAATCATTCTCCCAGTCCTTTGACAGCTTTTTTCTTTGCGTCTTTCCTCCAGCCTCCCCATTCTATTCTGCATTATACATACCCTGCTTGCCTCTACTTTAAACTAAAAATTATCTCTCTTCTACTAGCAGTATGCTGCATAGAAGTTTTACTATTTAGAACTTTCTGACAAGAGCTTCCCAAAACCCCCAAAGCAATTTCACTATCTCTTTGTAGATCCCTTCTTAAAACCAGCTGTTGCTTAAGGAAACTCTTCCAAAAAATAGGCTTCTGTTAAGCTGCATCTAAAGCTCTTCCTCAGCATTTAGATAGTTTCTTGTGTAGCAGTTGCTCTGTAAAGTCCTTAGGAGAAGGTTCTTTTTTTTTCCTCTATGTTTAAACTGCAGCTAGTTCAAGAATGTCCCAATCCCAGAGCAGCCCTCCTAGAGAGCAGCTTTATAAACAAATTCACTGGAAGCTTCCAGCAGTACTCAGACAGCAAACGTGCTTTCCAAACTCCTTTCCTCAATGGATGGCAATACAAGGTTAGTAGCAGCAGATCAGTGGTAGTAAAAAACTTGAACCATTTACATATGGAGATTCTTCCCCCTTTTTTCACAAGAGCAAGCTTTAATTCAGTCCAGCTTCAAAAATGTAAGGACAACCCACTGCTCAGAATCATTAAAGCCTTGCAGAGTTTTTGTTCTGGTTCTTCAGTGTCTGTTATTTACTGTGATTTTTTTTGTTAGTTTAAAGTTTATTTTGCATTGTTGTACTGAGATTTTATGTGGTCTACTTACTGATTCATACTGGAAATTATGGTAGTTAAAGCTCAGTTTCCCAGAAGATGATTCTTACTTCAGCAAGTCAAATATTTATATGGTATCTCCTCTACAGTGTAATGACAGCATTGTATGTAACATTTTTTAGAGATGAGGCACTTTGTGTCAGACTTACATAATCTGGAAAATTCTGAATTCTCCTGTGTTTCATTACATTACTGTTTTTTTCTTTTCCTGTTGAAGTGGCAAATACTTGCTCTAGCTTGATGGGCTCCTCCCCACAGTTTCAAAAAAAGTATGTTTGGATGTAGAAGATGTCAGCTCTCCTGCAGCAAAGCTAATCTGAGTTTTATTCGTCTATTGTATTACTTTATTAATGTTTGAAATCCATGACCAAATCAGTTATTCACAAATATTATTTGCAGTACTGAACCATCACTAAGTCCAACTGAGAAGTCTTCACTAACTGTTTATTACTGATAATTTCTTTCCAAATGATAATGTTTCTAATCATCTAGTTTCTGTTCACACAAATAAACTGCTGAATTTGCATATTCATTCATGACAATAACAAGTTGATAAGCAGGCATAGCAAACCCCAAATCAACTCCCTGCTCTGTACTGATTGTATGTAGCTCCTTGAACAGTCATATATTCCTAGATGCAAAAAAAGACATGGTTTGGGACACTTTGTCACAAATTATTTCTGTGCATGTTTTTATATGTGTTAGATGGAGAAGGTACAAGTACAGATTCTTGTGGTTCATTTAAGCCGGCAGTTTCTCACATAATCCAAATGTATACCTGCACTTAGTTGGGTTTAAGTTTGAACAATTGGACCTTTGCCATTTTAGCATTACCAAAATGTGTTAAGTAGTTAATGAATTAAAAAAAAAAAAAAAGCATAATATTCTGTTTGCTGTTCTCTGCTGGATGAGAGTTAACATCTCAGTGATTAAATCAGCACCATAGTTAAGTTCGATCTTCGGTTTTATTTCCTTTTCAGTGTAGCCAAGAATTGAATGGTATGTGAACTAAGACTAGGTTCTGTAAGTCTTCTACTGTACTAAACTTTATGGCAAAGTGAGACTTCGTATGTCAATGAAACACTCCTGAATCCAATTTTGTCCAGTTCATCTGCAACTTTGTACAGACAGTAAGCAGAGACATACTGAAAATGTTTAGTGATGTATAAGAAACAATGCTAAAGACCAGGATGTATTCTTTAATACACCAGGTATGTAAAGAATTATCATGACTAAATTTGCCAGATAGTCAAAACTTAATTTTATTTATTATACTAAAATATTTTAACTGAGTCAGAATTGTATCTCTGGTCAAAACTGCAAGCAGGTTTGGGCAATTATTTCTAAAAGGCGTGCATATGTTCACTTCCATTACTGTTGACTTTTGAGACAATTGCAAATCAGGACAGCAGCACCGCAGTCCATTTCTGAAGAACTCATTCCTTAAAGCAGATGTATTTGTGCTGGGGATAAAAAAAACTAACTTCACTACAGGATCTTGAATCATTATTATTTGGGAATGGAGAGAAAGTGAGCTCATCAATCAAGGAGACCCACAGCTGGATTAATTGTTTTAGAACAATTGGTGGAGAACTCTTTGCTAGGCAGCTTATACAAATACATACACAAATAATTAGGACCATTGGGGAATTCTGTGGTGATCTGTCTGCTTCCCTCTTAAACTAATAAGGTTACTATACTTCAGACAATCTACAGCTTGGTAAAGTGTCTGAAAACAATCAGTAATTAACTCTCAGGCTGTTTGTTTAGTAGCACTTTATTTGTCACTCAGATCTTCTGTACTTATGTGACTTTAGAAACATCTTAGTACACAGCTGAGGGCAAAATCTAGCAAAGTATATGAATACATGTAGCTCTAAATAATTTTTTTTACAGTCTAGTTAAAAAAGCACAGTTGTCAATGTGTTTATGGAAAAGGTATTGAATGCAATGGGGTCTTTTATTAACTGGATTGGAAATGTACAAAAATTTAAAAATCTACTACAGGTTCTAACAAGTGAATCCCTTTTTTCAAAATTTTTCAGGATTCTTGTTAGAATACACATCTCAGATAGCATTACCTAGTTATATAAACCAATGATAACATTTTCTGTGAAACTAGTGAGGATTTAGCAGTGCATTTTGAAGTGTGGCTTTGTTACCTCACTGTCGTCGTGAGTTGTTAAATATCTGTCTTGTTTGGAGACCTTATCTGGAACTTCGAATACAGCTAACATTTAAAAGCTGATAGAACAAAACAATTCATTTAGAAATACTGCAGCAAGTCACAGAGCTGATAGTAGAACTGCCTTTGTTTAAAGATTCTACAACATTAGACAAATTAGTCTTAATAATGTCTTCTTAAGCTTACGTTATCTTTCCTTTTGAAAAATAAACAGCTAAAAGCATTGTCCTCTGCTACCAGCAGATTACAATTATTCAGAAAAGCCTTCGCTTTGCAATTGTCTGTGACATTTCAATGCAATACTTGAACAGTTGCATAGGAAATAGAATTTTTATGTGATAGCAGTTGATGTTCACTATTCACGTGATACATTTAAAAGAAGCTGAAGAGAATAAGAACCTGCTTAATACTGTAAATTAAGCATAAGTGTCATATACTCTGTCTAAATGCCTGTCTTCTCTTTTCCCTGGCAGGTTGATAATGTATGGTTTTGTAAAGGCCATGGTACACATTGGCCAGTTAAAAGGATGGGAATTCCACTTCACTGACTTTCTTTTTTTTGGATCACTGATGTCTGCCACAGATCCAGGTAACCATTTAAAATAAACTACTTTTTCAAAAGTCAGAAGAGTAAATAAGAACATAACAACTGCACGTGCCATAGAAATGTTTAAAGTCTCTGTTCTTGATTTTTTTCTTCCCATAGCTGTTAAATGTCTGATATTCTGATAATCATAAGTCAAATTGGGTCCAGAGATCCCTTGGGTTTGTTTTAGTAACTGGTTTACCTATGTTTATCTTACAAACTTTATAAATGAAATTACTGGGGAGATTGGAAAAATTTTGTTCTTCAATCTTCAGGACACCTACCTGTTCATTTGATACGAGAACTGCTGTAACACTGGAGCCACATAGTTAATAATTTAGACATTCATGTGTGATCTAACCCAGTTTAAAGATACAGGGAATGTAGCTTTCAGATTTGGCCATATAAATACTGTTTATAAGGTATCAGTTTACAATTTGAATGCAGTGTTTCATGATAAATACAACTCTAAAAAGATAGATACCAACAAGTGAACTTGAATTTGCAGATGTGAGATTTAAAGCCTAAAGTTACAGTAAATTGCTAAGTCTGGGAAAGAAACTCAGCGAATTTTGGAATCACCAATTTATGGAATCATTTAGATTTGAAGGGGCGTCTGGAGGTCTTCTAGTCCAACCTCCTTATCAAAACAGGGCTAACCTCAAAGTTAGCCTAGGTTTCATAGATTTGTCCAGGTTTTGTTATGTTGAAAATGTTAATAAAAGTACTCTGATATTAAAAGGAAAGTATTGCTTTTTGCATCTGAGGGCCAATACTGAAGCAGGAGGTGAAAAAAGGATTTTTTGATATGTTATCTACAAAGAGACAAAGTAGAAAGTCCGCAAGGGTATATTGGATTTTTGCAGAATTTTCAGTTGAGCTGTTACAGCAAGTGGAACAGAAAGCATTTTGTGATGCACATGACATGCTGCATTAGTGTTAACTACCCTTGAGAAGCTTCTCTGAGAAACTTATGAATAAATCTTTCAAATTCATGGCTATTAAAAGAAAGGACAAAAAGCAACATTGTTCTACAAATTTGTTCCCTTCTTTAAATGAACCCTCAATATTTAGCAAAAGACTTTGAGCTTGTGATTTATCATTCTGATGGCTTAAAAATACGGTGTAAAACAATTTATTTCCACAAAATCAGTTGTTGCAAGATTGCTGTAAAAGCTGCATCAAATTGTTATTCTCAAATTAATCCAAGCATCCAATATGCTACTAATAAAATCACTCAACTACTTTAATAAGATTCAGCACATGATTGGAGCCTATCCTCAGAGCAAGAGAAAAACAGAAACTGAAAGCACAAAGAAAACCTAGGAAAATAAATTGCTTATGGAATAAGAGGTTGCTTACAGCTTCCAAGTACACTTCTTGATTGTACTATGAATAGAGTTTTGCAGTTGGCTTAGTTTCTTTTCCCATTTTCCAGTCTGATACTATTTAGTTTCACAAATTAATGTGTTGATTTATGAGGGGAAATATATAAGACAAATGCGCTGATTTTGATTATAATAGTATTAAATCACCACTGATTAATCTGGAACAATCATGAGAAAAAAAATAGATGCTCCTCTTGCACTGGAAGGAATAAGAAGTGACAAGGATTACTTTCCCCAGGTTTTTAAATAGGCTTAAAAAGCTAACACAGCAGTTGAGAAAACTGCTTTTAGTGTGACAAACTGTCATTGACTAATACTGTTTGTAATTACTCTTCTACTTATACAGAGTGGCTGTGCATGTTCAAGGGTGTTTTTAATGTTCAAGTCTTGCTCCCTCTGTTATCTATTCACAATATTCTAAGCTGTTTAATGTTTTTACCAATCTTATCCATAAATTCCAGTTCCTCAAGACTTAGACAATTTTGAATTAAATTTGCTGAAATTTGAATGAAAATTGCTGAAAATATTTCATTGCATTGTAGGATTTGCTACTGAATTATAATCTCAAGCCTTTTAAAGAGGTCATTGGAATTCCAAAATCAGTGAAAATATGGTCCCCTGGAGAACTGATACATACTAGGGCATAACATAATCAGTCTAATGATTTTGTATGTGATATCTAGCTTTAAAAAAAAAAAAATCTCTGGTAAAATGTTGTTAGGGTTACAGAAGTAGGATAGAATAATAAATTACTGTTGCAAGATGAAATAACAAATTCCTGTCAGATTTGCTACCTGATTTTTCATTTAATTTTTCACTGTGTAGGATTATAAGCTCATTTCAAAAAGAGATTTAATTTCCCTTGGCTGTGGAAAGCAATTAAGTCTCAAAAGATGTTAAAAACTGATCTGTTGACAGAAGTTGTTTTGAGTTCCTTATTTGTAGTAGTAAAGATGACTGGTAGATATTTACATGTTAAATTAAGAATTTTACTACCAGGGCAGTAAACAAATGTACGCCAGCTAAAAGTTGCTAATATTGTTAGGAGGAAGGAAATAATGTCATAGCACTCTGTAGGTTTTAGTTTTGAAGGGTATTTGAAGATCTTTAATAGAGAGATTTTTGTGTAAAATTAGTTCAGAAGAATTGCTCTTACATGCTATGCGTTTCCTTATGTAGAAAACTAGCACTTGAACGAAGATTAAGAAATGAATTTATGACTGGATATACTTGGGACTGTGTTTTGCATTATAGACTGTGATCCCTAAACATCTGTGATGTTTAGGGATGCCCCAAAAAACTCTCAGGTCTCTAGAAGGAAACGGTAGAAACTTTAAGGGCAAAGCAAGGTTACTTTCAAGTGAATCATTCATTTTACAGGAAATATCTCCTTCCAATAATTTATCATTTTCAGCAGAAAAAGTTTCTCATTTCACAACTTCAGGTGAGAGGTTTAATTTCTAAGAAATAGAATTTTAAAATTCCCCAATTCTCCCTTCATTACTCTTTGATTTAAAACGTCAGACTTGTATTTATATTTTTCTTTATTCTGATCAATAGGTATCATTTATCATGTAGGTGGGGAAATCATCTTGTTATTTCATCTGCATAAAACAGCACAGATTTCACTGTTTCACTGTTGAAAGGGTTTCCCTTGTGTTAGTATTGTGTGTTGATTTCTAACGTAACCTGACTCTGGAAGTTTTTTTTTTGTGCCCTTCAAAGGGGATGGAGCCGTCCCTCTCTATGTTCTGGTACACATGTCACTCATCAAAAGCAGCAAAGAGACTGTGGAAAAGGTGCTGGTGTGGGGAGTGGAGCCCCCGGCTCTCGGTTGCTGAGCATCAGAAACCTGCAAAATGAAACTGCCTCACATGTGAGCACAGATAAGGATATTCTAATAACTGTGGTTGAAAGGCAGACACAGCAATAAGCCCCAGCAATAGGCTGCTTGAGGGTACCAGTGGTTGTAATGGAATAAGGTGAATGATGGAACAAAACTGGCACATGAATGAAAAGATTTGACCTCTGTGTTAGCCACCAAAAAATAACTGAAAAGGACAACTTTGGCAGTTTGTCTTAGCTGTTGTTATTAACACATTCTGTGCAATGACCTTCCAATCCAAAGACATTTCATGTATCTTCAGGACTTCTCTTTTTTTTTTACTTTTGACATTTCGAGCACAGAAAACAGATTTACCTCCAGAAGGTCTGCTGAAGCATAGCTATTTCTGAGCTATATGAACTCCTTTACCTTTGGTCATATTGATACTCACAAGCCTCTTCTCTATTTGAAGTTACTATGGTTACAGCTGAACTGGAGATGTGAGTTGCACTGCTGTTGTTATTGATAAAATTGGATATTTATCAGAAAGCAGGTTCTGTTTCTCATAAAATCAAAGGATTTTGCATTAAGAAGCACAATTTATAAATACAGCAAGGTAATACATGTTATACATTGGTTATATAAGACTGTTTATAAATGTGATTTTAATTAAAATATTTTTATGCTTTCTTCTTATGCACCACTGAATTAATCTGTGAATGGTATGACTGATTTGTAG